TTGATGTCAGTCAGTGTATGCTTAATGTCTAGTTGGTCCTTTTTCATGTCCTCCAGGGTCTCACTAAGTTTATCGGCGGTTTCAAATCTTATAACCATGGTTTTGAACTCTATATCCAATAGTTTGCTTTCTTTCATTTGTGACATATTTCTTTGTCTCCACATTTTGGCTGCTTCCCTGTGTTTGTTTCTATGTATTGGGTAGCTGCTAAGTCTCCTTGAATTGCTAGAATGGCCTTGTGTGGTAGGTGTCCTATAGGGCCCAGTGGCTCAGCCTTCCCAATCACCTGAGGTGGATACTCTTGTTGTACCCCTTTGTGAGCTGTGTACACAGTTTTGTTGTAGTTGAGCCTTGATTGCTGTTGGTGTCAATGGGAGGAATTGACCTCCAGGCCAATTGGCTGTAGGAATCAGCTGTGATTACAGTGGGAGAGCAGGAGACACCGTTATGGAGCAGGATTTGCTTCAGTGGGGCTTTGGTGCTCACTGCATCTGCCCCTTGAGTGTGTCACTTATGGATGTGAAGAGTTGTAATCTGGTATGGTCTCACACTGACCACTGGCTACACTGGCTGTTTGGTGTCCAGGGAGGTGCTAAGTCAGCCACTGCCTGGGGCCACCTAGCAGTAGCTACAGAGAGATCTGAAGATTCCTCCTCTTTGTATCGGTTTGGAAGTGTCCAGTCAAGGCCCAGCTGTGAAGCAGGGCAGGCTGGTGCTGGTGCTGGTTCATGGGCCTTTTATTGATAGGTTTATGGCCCCCTGATCCAGCTGCAACTTGTTTGACAGAATTTTAGCTTAAGAAAGGACAGACCATTAATATGCAAAAGCCACTGCCCACAGCTTGGGTGGGGTTATAAATTTGGTAGGGGGGCGTTTAAGGATATTACCAGGGCAGAGCAAACAGAAATGGCTGCCAGTCAGCCCTGCACCAGGGAGGTCCCAGCATGGGAACAATGACTGCTGCCAGCATCTCCATCTGGAAGAAAGCCGCCCCTGAGTTCCTGCCCTGATGCTAGACAGTCCAGTTTCTCCCCGTATTTGTCTGGGTCCCCCAGAGCCTCGCCCAGCACTGTGTCTCAGAGGAAGTGGGAGCTTGTAAATTCAGTTCACCTTTTAAGAGGAACAGCTGGGTCTCCAGCAGCCTCTGTGTCACTCAGCCTGAATCCACACTGGTTTTTACAGTCCGTAGTTCTTAAGGACATAGGGACTCCTTTCCCCAGCTCTGGAACCCTAGGCTGGGGCTCTGGTGTAGGGCTGGGACCCCTCTCTCCACCTGGAAGCCTCTGCAGAGCTGATCTCTCTCCCGATTAAAAAAAGTGGCACACCCGGGTGCCGGACCAGCCCATTCCGCGCCTCTGCGCCTCTGCGCCTCCTACCAATCTCAGTGTGCTTTCTTCTTTACCTCTCTGGTTGTAGTACTCCCACTCAGCCAGCTTTCCTACGGTTCTGGATGATAGTTGTCCTGTATTTTAGTTGCAATTTTGATGTGGTTGAGGGAGGCAGCAAGAGCATACATTTACCTATGCCACCATCTTGGTTCTTTTTGAGTTTTTTATGAAATTTAAAAATAATCTCAAGACAGCCTTGCTTTTTCCTTTCCATATGTAACACATTAAGGGAATGAAAACTAATTGTTAAATGGCTTAAGTAAAAGCAAGTCAGTTATTCAAATAAAAAGTGTGTGTGTATAATGTGTTTTGGCATATATAATCATAAGTATTAAAATTGATTAAATATGGAAGGAGTTGCTTTTTTGTTGCCATTTGTATTAGTTATTGGTTAATTCCACCTGTGTTTCATCTTGCAAAAATCAGCAAATATGATGTGAGGCCAATCTGGCTGTGACATCTGTTACCCCATTGATCACCAGGGTTGATTCGGCTGATCTGGCTAGCTAGGCGGGTGTCCCCCTCCTCCCTCACCTATCCATGTGCGTTCCTCCCGAAGCTGTGCACTGCCCCCCCACAGGAGAGGACTGGTCTTTGGTCAAGGGTATACAAGTAGCTGTGCTCCCTGCTAAAACCTCCAAACAAGCTCTCAAAAATCAGTAAATACAGTATATATCTGAGATTTTATTTCTTTTGTAGACAAAAGCTATCACATTATGTATGTCTTTATACTTTGCTTCTTTTTAAAAACAATATATTTTAATGATTATTTACAGAGAGGAAGGGAGAGGGATAGAGAGTTAGAAACATCCATGAGAGAGAAACATCGATCACCTGCCTCCTGCACACCCCCTACTGGGGATATGCCCGAAACCAAGGTACATGCCCTTGACCAGAATCGAACCTGGGACCCTTCAGTCCACAGGCCAATGCTCTCTATCCTCTGAGCCAAACCGGTTAGGGCTATACTTCGCTTCTTTTTTCTCTTAGCAATATATATTGGAAATCCCTCAGCCCATAAAAATCTCCTTTAATCTTTTTTAGGGTTACATAATATTTCATTACTAGATGTCCCATAATTTTTTCTAAGGATGGACATCTAGGTTGTTTTCTAATTTTTCTATTACAGAATTCCAGATAAGATGCTTCTTAATTAACTCTATAAAAATGATTATTCAAAAAGGATTTCAAAGAATCCTGCCTTTGTTTCTCTGCTCAGTCACCAATTAGATCTGTTGTAGGTAAAATGTATGCTGATTATACAGTGATACCTGAGGATGAGATGCTTATGCTATCATATAAGCTAAAAGGACAAAAATCACCTATAATAAAAATTGCCCTTGTGCATCTCTTTGGAAGATGGTATATTAGAACTCATTCGGTAGCAGAGCCAGTTTTTTCCTTTAATTTTGGAAAAGATGGCTTTCCTTCAGTTGAGTTTGGATGGTTTATGATAAGGGGTTATGTTATAGAAGTTGTTTAAAAATTAGATGGACACAGTGCAAAAACCTAAACCAGGATCTATTTGAGGAAGTCGTCGTTTCAAATTTTATACTTACTCCAGGGCATAAACTTATTGATGAGCAAAGTCACCCGTACTATCTGAAGTTATGTTTCTTAAAAATCATTCATGCTTTGTATGTATTTTTGGTTCCATGGATAGCTAACAATTGAGTAAATGGAAATGTACATATGTGGCATGCAACTCCACTGTGTAAGATACACTTTCCATAGCTGTTGTGTCATCCAAAAATCCAGTGAGATTTTCCTTCTCCATAAGGATAGATAGATACATTCCACTAGTTTTCTGGGAAGTATTAGTTATTTACTGGTTTGTTATATCGGTAATGTAAATTACACTTGCTTTTTTCTTACCTCATTTTTTCAACAGACATAAAAACCTGTTATGTTCTGGGCTGTGTTAAATTTTGAGGTTTTGGTCCCTGTCTTCATAGCTTACATTATAATGGGGAAAATCAATACATGCACAGTTATAATACAGTGTATCATCTGCTTCCTCTCAGATAGCATTCATCATATACCTTGAATATTTAAAAAATTTTTCACACAAATATTGGTAGATATTCAAATTTATTTATACATGATTTCAAATTTCTAAAAATAGTCACTTTGGGGCATATAATTCTTTGTTGTGGGGGCTATCCTATGCATTATAGGATGATTAACAGATGATAGTAGCATCTATCCCTCCTGTTGTGACAACTAAAAATGTCCCCTGGGGGCAAAATCATCTCTGTTTGAGAACTACTTTCCTAGAGGAAGGGCAAGGCAGGGTCATCAGGGTCATCTAGACGGTAGGGTCATCTAGGAAGACTTAGAAAGGGATACCAGAGGACATTGCCCAGCAGATCACAAGGAGAAAACTTAGATGATTTCTCTGTTATCCTTCAAGTTCTTTGTGTGATTTCAGCTAACACAGGCCTGTTTAACATATAATGCTCTATTAATTACTAATCTTAAAAATAAAATGTAAATTTTGTAATAACGTCAGAAAATATTCTGAAATAAAATTAGGGTTTTTGTAAAAGTATTTGGAAGTTCAGCTTTGCTTGTGTTATGTTTGCTTGTAGAATTGTATTTTTGTCTTACCTGTTTCCATTATGCTTTTCTCTTGTGTGTCATTGTGCCATGTTATGACATCATAATTTTCTTCCCCTTTTTCACCAAGTCTTTTTGCCAACAGGGCTCACTCTCTGAGCTCTTACATTTACTACTTTCTTCTTAGAAAAATTCTGTCAGTCTTTGGCCTGCTGTCACATATGTAAAATCTGATCCTGTCTCAGCTGTCACTATTATGTGTTGTTATTGCATACCCTTTGCCACAGTAATTTTATTTTCTTTGCTATGAATGCATTGGAGGGATGATTACAGTAGAGAAAAGTTAGACTGGATTTTGAAAAAGAAAGTATAACAAACACAAGATTTTGCCAACTATATATTGACTGCATCTTTCTAGCATTTGATGCCATGTTATTGAATTTATAGTTGTTTATCTTATTTGGTTAGTTATTCGTGTCTTAAGTTATATGTAGCAAACCATCTACAGAGCATGTAATAACAAATTAAATGGATTTTTATCATTTTGTTAAATGTGTATACTTAAGTTTTAATAACTTTTGAGATTTACCATTTTTGCTCAGAAAGTTCTGTATGTCCATTGTAACTTTATAGTTAATTAAATGTCTTTTGAATGATAAACGGTATGTAAGAAGGCCAAGAATTTGTAGAATAGTTAAAAATCTTATTATTTTTATTTCACTAATAAAAATCCCATATAATATCCTAAATTTTGTTTTGTTATAACAAGTACTTATTTAAGTCCGCATTGCTAACTGCAAAAAGGAAAAAGATGAAGTTGAACCATTTATTAAATGTGAAACTACTGACATTATGAATAATGAATAAGTTATGACAAGGTTGGTAATACCTGTTTTCAATGGCAAATCTAATTTGACTTGAAAATATTTTAGCAAATGAAATTTCCTGTAACAAATCTTTATGACTTTAAGATTACAGTTCATCAGTTCTTAAAGATTTTAAAACCTTTCAGTGACATAGGAATGCTGTTTTTCATTCTTAGTTAACAGACTAAACAAACATTTAAGTTAATGATAGCAAGATACAGTGTAAGTCTACATTTAACATAGATTTTCTGCTGTTTGCTAATCTTCTCCTTCTCTGATTAACAAAATATAATAGCTAGTTAAATGCTTTTTCTTCTGAGACCAGCCATGTCAACTGTCTTCCTGTTATTTTTACAGTTCCTCATTAAATTGCTTAGGCTTTAAAGCATCTGGCTCTAATTATAATTTCTAACAAAGGCTGAATTAAAGAACATGGGGTTTAGAGTTTTCTGATTTTGTAAGTTATTGGTAGTTGTTGACAACAAATAATTGGTAAGGAAATCACTCTTGAAATCACAAAATGGTAGTTAGAGAATATTTATTAGGTAGAAAAGTACTTACTATCTGCCAGATATTATATATATATTGCCTTGCCTTTTTGAACACATCATTTGATGTAGTCATATTAAGCTTAGGATAAATGCCAAAAAATGGAATTGCTAAGCCAAATAATGTATGTATTTGTAAATATATAGGGTGTGTCCCAAAAAATGTATACATGGTTTGAATAATTATTAATCCCAATGGGTTAAATCTGAAAAGAAAGAAACATCAATTGAGCTATCAGAAAGAAGTATATGTACATTTTTAGACACCCTATAGAATTACCAATTTTTTCTCTCTAGGAGCTGTTCTAATTTATACCCCACTTACATATGAAGGTCGTTAATACTCTGTAGTAGGGGTGAGGAACCTTTTTCTGTCAAGGGCCATTTGGATATTCATAACATCACTCGCAGGCCATACAAAATTATCAACTTAAAAATTAGCCTTCTGTATTTGGTCAAACATTTAATTAACTCACCCCTAATGCCTTGGCAGGGCCATACCAAATTATTTCACAGGCTTTATACAGTCCGCAGGCTAGACATTCCCCACCCCTGCTCTATAGGCTCACCAACACAGTTTGTCATCAAAAGTTTGTATTTTATTTTCTTATGTTTTTTTCCTTTTTCTTTTTGCTACACTGTTGAATGAAAAAAGATTTTAATGTGGCTTTATTTTGTATTTTTCTTAGGAAAGAGGTTGTCATTTTATTTCCTTTTCTATGACCCATATGTTCATGTCTTGCAGACATTTTTCCATTTTAAAGTGGCAATTGTTATTTTATAATAGAGAAAGAGAAGAATTTGAGATAATCACCTAGTTGATATATTGTTAATAATATAAAGTTGTTCTTAATTCTTTTTGAATGTACACATGTACATGAATATCACATAAAGGCTTTTTTTCTCTTTTTTTCTAAACATGAAGTTTGGGAGTAATCAGTCCAAACCAGAGTTCACAGTGGACCTTAAGGGGGCAATGATTGAGATGGCTTCCAAGGATAAATCCAGCAAAAAGAATGTATTTGAGGTAATAATTTTTTTCTGAATATAATTCACATTCTTAACTGTAGGGATTAGATCTTCTTTTTTTGAGTTACTTCAGAAATGGCCTTTCAGTGTAACTAGTTTTGTCAAATTTGGTCATTAAGTCAGTTTGTATTAAGAAAAACAGCTGATATGAAGATCTGGGCTTTATTTGCATAAATTATAGGATCTCACATTATATATTACGAACCTTTGTTCCACAAATCTTGCCTTTCCCCAGCAACACTAAAAAAGGTATGATTTCATTTACTATGAAATCTAATATTAAAAAATCAAGACTTTCCATTTTGTCATTAAAAACCCCTGCACAGTCGTGTATGATTCTACGTCATTTTTTGCTGCATATCAGACCACCCCCAGAATTTAGCAGCTTACGAAGTCACATTGCTTAATTTATCTGATACTGAGGTGAGTGATTCTTCTGGCCTTTCATGAGTCTTCCGTCACTTAGTGGCTTGATTGGGGATGGATGGTTCACATGTCTGGTGTTGGTGCCAGCTGTTTGCTAGACCTCTTTCTCCACAAGATCTCTAATTCTCAAGGAGGTTACCCCAGGCTCATATATATATATAATTATTGATTTTTTACAGCGGGGAAGGGAGAGGGATAGAGAGTTAGAAACATCGATGAGAGAGAAACATCGATCAGCTACCTCCCGCACACCCCCCACTGGGGATGTGCCCGCAACCAAGGTACATGCCCTTGACCGCAATCGAACCTGAGACCCTTGAGTTCGCAGGCTGACGCTCTATCCACTGAGCCAAACCGGCCAGGGCTACCCCAGGCTCTTTATATGGTGGAATCAGGGTTCCAAGAGGGTCTTTGTGAAAGCGCAAGACTTCTTGCAGCCTAAATTTCGAAGTCATGTGTCAAATATTCTGTTGGTGAACACAAGTCAGAAGACCAGCCAAGTATTCTGGGTTATGGGGAACTAGAATCCACCAGTTGATGAGCAATAAAAAGTCACATTGTAGAGTATGGATAGAGAGATGGAAAGAATTTTTGAGGCCCTCTTTGCAAACAATCTTCCAGATCCCAACCTTCCTTTCTAGCTTCAAGGTTTAGTCCTTTCCTAGCTTATTGTCTAGGCAGACTGGATTAGTTGCTGTTTTCCTGCCTCTTTGATTTTCACTCTGTATTATTTTACCTTGGGTACTGACCCATGCCAAACATTACCTATATTGCATAAGAAATGTTATCACAATATTGATACTTCTACTTTGTTTATGCTTTAAGTAGCATTTATTTTAATGTACCTTGGGTTGTCGTCATCTGTAAGTTATTCTCCCCACTAGATGATGAAAGTGTTTTTTGTATTTTAAGCAGAAAAACTATGTATTTACTTATCTTTAAGAACTTCTAACAGTGTTTCTTATGTACACTGAATATTCATTATTAGTTGACTGACTTGACCCACTTTCTAGAAAAATGCAAGGAAGAACGTTACTATTTTCTGAATTAGCCTTGCAGTGCCTATAACTGATTCCAGAATGAAAAGGATTCAATAGTCATATACCTTTTTAAAACATTATTTCAGGAACTGTGCTTGAGGTATATGTCTTAGAAT